TTGCTAGATTCTGATTTATTTTACGTTTGTTAAAAGTAAGAGATAATATAAGTAAATAATGTTCGTACAAACCAGGGTAATGAACGAGTATGTCATTAACTTTTGTAATTGAGCTTTTAATTACCACTGTAGTATAACACTTGATCAAAGTATTATTGACAATTTATTTTAATATTTTATCCATTTTATTTGTATTTTCAATATATTTAATATGGGAAAACTCAAATAAGTAAATTATTTTACACTTTTCTACAGATAATATCATTTTTTTGATAGGTAAGTACTTATTTGTTATAAACAAATACCAATCATATGTTGTTGTTTTTATGGTTAAGTAATGCTGACCTGARGGAATAATATCTTGTGATCGCTATTTCTCCACTAATCCACCATAAGTAGTCAATTAAGATACTTGGGTTTAAAAATAGGTACGTTAGAAGGTTGATAAAGTTCAATTTTTCTTATTGATAGTAACATATCGTACAACTTACAAGCATATGGGAATAATTTCACACTGCTTGTTATGTCATTTAAACTTGACAAATATAGATGTACGTGAACATTTCGGTCGTAGCAAAGTTTCAATAAGTATTTTATCAATCGTTTTAAAGTTGCAGTGAAAAACCAGTTGGTAATTATGATAGAGATTCAAAGTTAGTTTAATATACATTAATAAATTATAAAATGAACTATATTACCATTCACCACATTAAATTTACTAGTTTTAAAATTTCGTAAAATTTTAAATGCGTTGTTCTTGGTATTACCAAATTACTTAATTGTGTAGGTACAATTTATACACATAGACAGAAAATATAATATCATAGAGTATATACTATACTCGTATAGTATATTATGTAGGTATATTTAATCACAGAGACTTATTTGCCACATAACTAAAATAAATTATAAGTAATTTTACTTATATTTAGAATATGATTTTGAAATGATTTCATAAATATAATAAGTTGGTAACAATAATAATCTATTAAGTTAATAGAATTTCTATAACATTWTTGTTTTTGAAACATAGACATAGAAATGATAGAATACTTTAAAGTCGTTTTTACTTGGGAAATAGCACAGATTAATACAAAGATGACACTTTATTGTCTGATTGGATTACAAGTTGTGTTCCTAAGTATACGGGACTCTAAAAGTTCAAATTGTATCCGTAATCTGATATGATGTTGGCAACAACATCCTACAAAACAACAAAACCATAAACACTTAACTGCCGAGAACTACCAGGAATTGGCAAAATTATAATTTTATTTATTTACTGTGTAATTATTAGTCTAATGAAACAAAAATATTACATAGTAATGCCTATAATCACCAATAAAATGTTTTCATTTTTGCTATTTCATAATAAAGAAGGATATACAATTGCAAACAGATTAAGGATGTATGGTTTACACTTTTAGAGTCCCATACCATACTGTCATAGGAATATAATGGGCTGAAAGCTGATTGAGTGTTATTTCTATATTTGTTTGTGTTCATACCTCATAGACCTTATARTATATTTTGTGAGTGTCCAACTATAGCTATACCTACTATAGCAATTAGCCTAATATTATAGTGATTATTAAAATGTGTGGACAACTGGCAAGTGTGAAGAGTCATAAAAACCACTTCCCTCAAAAAAATTTTCAAACAGGTTTATTTTATGAACGGATTGTTAAGAATAAAAAGCATAAACTTTCAAATTGATATGAAAATAGTTTTATGCATTTTGAGTTCTTATCATTTAAAAATCTGTAGTAAACATAAGAGTTTGAATAAATGATGGAATAAAAATATAAGAATAATAAAAACGTATACGACGTATAGAATTTACTGTACCACAAAAGTTAATACACTTTGTGAAATATTGAAGAGTGATGTTTGATAAAACAATAAAAGTGATAAAGTGTCACTAAAATTTGGGGTGTTTCACCGAGCATGTTCAATCYTATTTTTTTAATAATACAAGYATAATATTATAACACAATAATATAATTTAGGCGTCTATTCAAATTCTGATCTTTAAATACCTTTAAAAAACATTTTTTCTAATTTTTGAGATTTATGTAGGTACTATTTTAGGAGTATTCTGTGGCGATACAAACTTCTGTTCATAAAATTATAATCACCYTGCTTTACTGTAAATTGTTTAGGGGAGGATTTTTGACATGCTTAATTTATTTAAACATCATTCATATTAAAATTGTTATAGATAATAGTCATCACCTCGAATACTAAATTTTTGATTTTGATTTAGGTTAGTCAAAATTTAAAAAAAAAATGATCTACTAAAAAATTTTCAGTGGAAAAAAAAGGGGTGGGTTCTCATTTCAAAAACAGAAGTTTGTATCTACACAGGACACTCCTGTARAAACATCTCAAGAATTTGAAAATATAAAATCAGATTTTGAATGACTGCATTATTAAAGAAAAAAGAAGATGAGTATGCTTGATAAAATCACTGTACCTATATATAAATTACCGCATGCAACACTATACGCACACATGTGTTACGTAGGTGTGTATATATATATATATATATATGTATATAGGTATTCGCGTCTTGAGTGTGTCGAGATTATAATATTATCATTACACGCGTAGTATAATATGTTATATATTATGTAGGTATAAAAAAAAATTGCAATTTAGATATTATTTTCCCATAGGTAATAGAATATATTATAATACAAGAAACACGAACGCGGATGACGAAGGGGTAGGGGTAGGCTCGTCCGCGGGTGGACGTCATATGTAATCATTGTGTACCTCTTATATATAGAGTGTACATAATAAGATAACATTTATGTAACATATTATACGAGATGCATACCTATAATAACATATAACTATATGTATAATATATATAATACATAAAATAGCTGCTGTTTGACGTATGACTGATAACGGTTCGGATGATGTGTATATATATAGCATATTATATCTTTACTCTCGGGCCCGCGCGTGTGAAATCGCAAACAATAAATTATATTCGTATATTATATAAGTATATATGTATATATAAATCTGTGCCTATATATTTTAATGGCAGGTCGTGGTCCATACATCGTCATTATAATGTAATATGCCTATATACCTTCCAATATATATATATAATAATATTGATAATATTGCGCAGAGCGCGTGTATTTGCGCGAATTTTTTATTAAGTTTTTTTTTTTTTTGTGTTCGCACGTCGTTTTCGGGGAAACTGAAAGAGAGAAAAAAATGATATCGAATCAATTGCCGGTCGTCGTGCGCGTGCGTATGCGCATATATCTATATATATATATAATATATATGTGTGTGTGTGTGTGTGTGTGTATGGATAATGACCAGACGTCTTCGGCAGGCTCGTTTGTCATCGGTCGCGCCGGACCTGCCGCGCGGCAAGTACGCATTAGCCGTTTATTGCAGACGTCGTCGCCGCCGTTGTCGGTGCGGCGCGGCCGGGGAGGGAGTGAAACTGACAACACGCCGCCTTAACGATTGGGAGGGGGAGGGGGGAAAGACTGCGCACCACTTGTCGAGGTGATTGCGGGTTCGGATGACCGTATATCGCGTACACGAACGATATGAGCGCTGAACGGGAGAGCATAATATAAGGGTGAACGGCATAGTCATGACACGACGACGACGATTATAATATWATATTATATTGAAATATTAAGAAATATATAATAATAAGTATATATCATTGTTGTTATAATAGAGACTAAGAGAGTGAGTTTTTTGTATAGCCTCTTTTTCGGGGAGGAAAAAAATGGAATTTTAACGCATCCKTCGAGTATATTATACGCAGTGCACGAATGTGGGACGCCGGGAGGACTTATAATAGCTGTTACGGCGGAGAAGCGCCATTTGCACTCTTCAGATTTTCTATAGATGTCGTTTATACAATTTAATTTCAGCTAAACGATACAATATTGCATGTGTTATTATATAGATGATTTCCACCCACCGGAAAAAAAGAATATGCACGGCTGCCAATTCAAAAGTTAACAAATACTGTTATATAATAATATATAATATTATCATTACATATTAACATTGAATAGATATACTTATACCATAAGGTATGACATTTAAGTGTGACATAATAAACTAAATGGTCCTTTGACTCAAATATGAGAAGGCAATGCCTATAGTGGGATTCGCGAATTGTGAAGCCTCTCAAAGTCCATCGTTTATGTTTACTGCTGATATGAAATCATAACAAACTTTTTCGTTTTATATTTCAATGGTACGCGGAACATAATATAATATATATATTATATAATATAACATAATGTATGGAACGACATTGGGCTTTTTGCTCTTATTCTAAATACGCCTCAAATATAAAGTCCTAAACATGCTTACGTGTAAAGTAAATGTGTAATATTTCAGTACCTATAGGTTTGCATATCAGTTCGGCAGGTATACAACCAATTTACCTACCATTATAAAATTTTACTGCAGCATACCTATACTATGAAATAATAATACAACATACCAACCCAGTGACGTATTTTCAATAATTTACTGTGGGCGGGGGGGGGGAGAGGTTAAAATTTTTAAAAATCACACGATAAAGCTTATTTTGTTTCATCTTACTTAGAGACGCAGCGATATTCCACACCAAAATAACGCGCGATCATCTATATCATTTCATAAATTATCAGAAAATTCGTAATACAATATTGATTTATAACATTGAGTAACTATTATTTTTTTTATATTCTCTTGCAGGGGAGGGTTTGAACCCAGAACCACCCCTTCTACAAATACCCTACTGTATCAACCTAGAATTCGACGATATTAACTTTTGATGGTATAGATTGTCGGTATAAAAGTATCTGACTATTATTATTTATCATTGTGTACATATTATTCGCATGTAAAAAAAAATGATTATCCCATTTATTATAAACATRTAGGGTTTATGCTGCTAGACTCATTAACCTATATATTTGTATGTGACCTATATAATTAGAATAAGCACCACTCACTTGGATATCCAAAGCGCAGACGCGTACGACCTCCTCGTCTGTCATAGGTAGAGCTCTGGCGAGTTGGAACTACTGTCGACGCGCTGGGTAGCGGCCGCGGCCGCCGACGAGGTGGACGACGACGACGATGTGGCCGCGACTGCTGCTGCCGCGGCGCTCATCGATTCCCTGGCCGCGGCAAGCGCGGAAAATCGCTGCTTGTACATGTCGCGTTCCTGCGTGATGCGCGACAGCTCCGACTTCATCTTATGCAGCTCGGACGCGAGTATCTCGTTGGCGTTCTCCAGCTCGATGCGTTGGTTCATCCGCTTCGTCCGGCAGCTCTGMGCGTACCCGCGGTTTTTGAGCGTCCGCCGCTTCTGCTTGAGCCGGGCGACCTCCTCCTTGGAGATGCCCTGCAGCCGCTTGTTGAGATCGCGCACCGGCAGCTGCAGCAACAGCGCGTCGTTGATGAAGTCGTCGGACGACCCGCCGCCACGCGTGTATGCGCTGCTGCCGCCGCCGCCGCGGGAGCTGACGGGCGACATGACGCTACCGCTTGACACGCTCAGCGGCCGGCTCTGGTTGTGGGGYGCCTGTCGTTGGGCCGAGAACAGCGGCTGGTAAAGCGAACAGCCGTTCCCGTAATTGTAGACGACACTGTTGGACGAGCCCGGGCTCAATAACCCTTGCATCAGCTGCAGGGACGGGCGACCGAACGACGGAACTTTGCCGCCAACTGCGGAGCAACTGTTATTGCTGTTACTCGGCTGTATTACGGTCAAGTGTTGGTGTTGTACCATATTCCACTCCGGCACCGCCGAATCCGGCTGCTGTTGTTGTTCTTCTTCATCGTCTTGTTGTTCTTGTTGTTGCTGTTGTTGTTGTTGTTGTTGCTGCTGCTGCTGCTGCTGCTGCTGCTGTTGTTGTTGTTGATGGTGGTGGTGGTGATGGTGATGGTGGAGCGGGTGGTGCTGGTGCTGGTGCTGGTGCTGTTGCTGCTGCATTTCGTCGGAGCCCACATAGCTTGGTCGCAAGTCCAAAGGTTCTTGTCCCTGGCGYAACGACTGCGTTAACCACATCATTTCTTCCATAAATACCGGTTGCCGAATCGGCGTKGAMGGCGGTGGTGACGAGCTCACCGGCGGCGTGTCGGGCGGCGTTCCCGGTGTGTTCGGGTACATCATGGAACCGACGGACGCGGCTTCAGCACCCGACACTTTGACCGCGGGCGCGCCTCCAGTTATCAGCACGCCGGCGGCTGCCGCGGCCGTTGCCGCCACGTGACCGTGTATCACCATTCCAGCACCGGCGCCACCCACACCGTCAATTACCTGGTTAAGAGCGTGCTGGTGTCTGATAAGTGGATGGTGGTGTGGGTATTCCTGTTCGCAACCGGGTGGCGTGAGCAGGTAATGCGGCGGCGGTGGCGATGACTGCACCAACGTCGCGGTGGCAGCTCCTGCGGCTGCAGCAGCTGCAGCCGCCGTGGCCGTAGGACCGTTATTGACGCTCGTGATTGGCATAGGTGGCAGACGGCCACCAACGCCGGCGGTACCTCGGCCACCATTGCAAGGCGCGTGCTGTTGTTGTTGTTGTTGTTGTTGCTGCTGCTGCTGTTGGTGGTGCTGGTTGTGATGGTGATGGCTTCCATGTTCCTGGTGTGGTTGGTGGTGATGGTGGTGATAGTCGGACGATTGGATCTCACGTTTCACCGTCGTCGATACATCCAAGTGGTCGAGCACGAATTCGTTGACGTACTCGTCTGCCAGACGTGGATCATCAGCTTCCATGTTGATGTGTACGAAAACTGTAGTGTCGTGCGAGAGAAAGCAGGATAAAAAATATCAAAAACGATAAATAATAATCGCAGTAAGGACTTAAAATCACTTTGCTGTTACGAATTCGTATTAAAAAAATCACGGAAGATAGTGCATCGCTATAGCACCGATGTAATTCGTGTGTAATTAACGATGATAAAAGCAGTAATAATTCACATCGCAGACGTTAAGACTACGAAATAATCTAAACAACAGTCACGATGATACTATAATATGCGATGTTCGAATGTTCGCCGTATGAAATATTAATTATAAAACGAATAAAATGTATACCGCGTGAGGCGTACGACACGCGCAACGTGTTCGGTGTGAGTCGCGCGACGTCAGGGTGCGACCGGTGCAGTTTCTGCAATGCCGACGGTGGCCTCAGGTTCGGTGCGCGCTCCCGATCGCCGACGCGGCGCAGCGCCGGGTGCCGCCGGTCAGTGGGTGGGACGGCGCACGCTCATTGGCCCGCGCGCACTGCGTTCCCGCCCCCCGTCGGCGGGGTACGGGGCCGCGACAGACACCTCTCGGCCACCGCCGCCGTCACGGCGCAATGATAATAATTAGATCGGCGGCAACGCTGGTTATTTATTCTTTTCCGCTTTTTCGTTTTCCCGGCTCAAGGTCGATCTCGGCCCGTCCCGCGTGGCCGCTCTTATCGTGTTCCGAAGACGGACGCCAATTCAGGTGGTGACAACAGAGGCGGCGGCGACGGYGAAACTGGCGGTGCTGGCGATGCGGCGCCACCGCCGCGCGTGCGATTAGCTGAAAAATAAAAATAATTATACTTATTTCCCGGAATCTATAGATATATGCGTGATCCGTATTCAGAAAACTTGTATTATGCTGGGTAATAGCCGAGTGGGCAAGTGTGTGTTATATWTGGACCAGCCGTCTGCAGTGCGCATTTAAGGCGGCGTGAATTATTTGTGATGCGTTCTTATGAGGGCACAGTGATATTCTTTTGACTGCACTCACCCCGTGCGTGACAAGATTAAAAAACAATGTTAAAATYCCAACGCTACCTACAGCCCCGTCCTACTGTAGAGTCTATTGAGTCTCGTGCCTCAAAAGAATTCACTTCACACGCTGATAATAATACAGTAATCACTGAATATTAATTTTTCTACATTGAATAAATTACCTAGCTATATTATACCTACCTGTATGACAATCACCTATTTTTTAGCTAATACATATATCTAAATTTATGTGATACATTTAAAAGTAAGTTTTAATCAAGAATTCTATGGAAACATTTTATAAAATAATTTTGAATAATTTTATTTATTTATCTGATGACTGATAGTGCCCTGGAAAGAAAATGCTGATGGTTATATCATGTTGTAATTAGTGATGAAAAATGTCAAGCAATTATATAGGGCATCTACTAATTTTTTACTCTTTTATTAGCTAGGTAGGTGTAGGTATGCCTACATAATGTTGCAGGCACTCTCTGGGTTCAGGGCTTCAGGTTCATATATGACCTAAGTACTAGGTTAGATTAGGTTATATATAATAATACATATAACATATATAATGGGTGAGGATACATTTTGTTCAAAATCGAGGTTGTATTATCTATTTGATAGGAACAGCACAAAAATATCACCTATACAATATAGTATACCCATAAATCATAATTAATCATTTTTACCCGATACAGTCATGAAATGTATACCTAGTAAAAATGACTTATTGTTCGTTATTTTGTGGATTTCATCAAAATATTTAATACATAATATTATATTAATACACGTTATAATACAATACGCATACACCGCCCATATATACACATCGCTATTTAAACATTATATAGGTATGTATAACTCAATATTTGTATAATATAGACTTATCAGTATACTGTATATAGGTATATATATTATAGGTACCAATAATAATAATTATGATATAATATGGGACAGGATTATCTTATATTATATTTTCTATAGGGTGGATTCAATGTAACTGCAGTTTTGATAATTATTAATTTTGATGATAAACATACATGTTTAAAGAGTCCTCTCACTGGATAGCTTCCCTTTTCCGGCCACGTCACCATGTCCAATATAATATTATGTTAACCTATAATTGTTTATTGTAACTTTTTTTTTCATCGTACAGATTTTTAAATATTAAAAATATTAAAAAAACCCATATATACAAACATGTTACGTATTATGTAAATAATAAATTATAATGTTAATTTATATAAAAATGTTTCACATTAAATTTCTAAATATTTTCAAAATAAATTAACATATTATTATACTATTTGGCGCAGAAGCGTATTGTATATTGTTGGTCTGWAGTCRAATATAATATAGGTAGTACGAGAATAGAATTTGTAGCAGACTGCTAAACGAAGACGCAACTCTAATAATGATCTTCAGATCAGTGACAGTTCGAGGGGGGGGGATCGGGGCAGTTGCCCCGGGACCCGCGATTTTAAAATTATAATCAAGGCCCCGCAGTTCTTAAATGATATTTTATACTGTTCAGAGATTAGTTAGTTTGGATAATATGTAATGTGACTGTTATWTATTTTGTCCGGGKCCCCGCAAATCCTAGCGCCGTTCCTGCTTCAGATAGTATACGTAGCAATATATTGGTATAATTGCAGTTGGTATTTAGATTTTATAACTCTCGTGTGAGTAGAAAATGCCATTTCACACAAACATTTTAACGTATTTATATACCGATATACACCTAGATAATGATAAGTTCAAACAAAAATGGATCGACTACGATATCGTTCAAAATCGACCGTTTGGCCGCTCCTGGGCCCTGATACATTCCTCTGCAGGGTTTACTCGACGTCGAAAGAACTGACTAAAATGTTCGAGTTGCCCAATATAAGATTAATATCTACAATAATAGGAAATCCTATAGGGACCGGGAAAGAGTTCGAGTTAAAAAAATTCGACTGTACGTTAAATATAGATGCTAAACATATAAGTACTGCGTATCGATGTCTTAAAGCTCCGCATCGCCTGCATGKGCGCCCGGGCGATGAATTTATCCGAAACGATATACGATACGCCTATACCTATTACGTACACATTACCTACCTATTATATACGTCACCCACCGTTATATTACGTGCAGCAGGCGCGGTGGTACACTGACCTATATAAATGACACATAAGAAATCGTATAACATATTATCATCATTTTGTCGAATTCGCGACAGTCGAAGAACTCATAGTAGTCATACCAATAATAATGATAATATTTATTTTTTTTTGTGTGTGTGTGTGAAATGGAAACAGGTATATATATTTAAATTAATTTTCGTTATCAACATATATATATTTAGGTACCTATATCATAAACCTATATAYGTATATATATTAATATTTACTTCGTGGAATGGCGTTAAACTGCAATTTTTTTTTCGAAAATCGATTTCGTTTATAGAGAAGATGTGCTTTGAAAGTATGGTATAAATTATCATAATACATATAGGTACGCCTCTTAATTCAAATATAGAGAGGGTGTGTGCTAAGTAAACACACTATATAATAATGTACCGCCTATATATAACATAGATGTTTTAATATGTTAATAAGGCATTATTGATTACATAGATCGTATTTATAATTGTTACATCTACATAATTAATGTGCGATTGATATATCAACCATTTGATTATAATTTATTTGACTAATTTGAATGCACAACAAAATATATTGTTTAAAAATGTCGAATTTGTATAAATTCGGGTAGGTACCTAATTTTTCCTAAGTAATTTATGACTTATTGAACATAATAAAATTATCTAATACAATAGTTTTTAGAATATTTAGATATACCAGGTGTACCCATATTTTTAATTACTTTTAAATTGATTATGTCAACTGACAACATACCTAATAATATGGATAACATTTAGCAGATAGCAGTAATCAATCATAGTATACCGACATCTAATATAAGAACCTAGAGGTTATATAGAGGTACCTATAACATATACCACGTGCGATAAAGGATATACCTAGCTATACTTATTAATGAAATATTGTGTATATTTAGTATATTGTGTATATAAAGAGTAATGCTCATCTTATTGTATATATAATACAATTAATTTTCTAATGCAAAGTTATTAAAATATCTTTTTTAAATTGATTAAATAGACATTAAACCTAACCCATTATTATTAAACACACCTACGTGTATATAATATATTAKCATATTGTTAAACTTAAATATATTATTAATATAAATTCATTTTTTAAGTGATTGGGTCCGAAGAAACAAATTTATAAAATATAATATACCGGCTATTATAATATATATAATAACATATCATTAATAATATTAAGATCATTTTAGTATAATATGCTTATATACTCCAATGTATAAGTAGTTAAATAACTGTTTGGTTTGGTTTGATTAAACATTAAAACGCACCCATTATTATACTATTATTATCTTATTGTTAAACGTGAATATAATAAATATTTTTAAGCGATTAGGTCGGAGGAGAACAAATTAATTGAATAGGTATAAAATATAACGCTTTTTTCTTTTATGATATAAATATATTTACAATCTGTAACATAATAATACAATAAGTAAATTTGAGATTTTTT